TCAAAGGTACGCACAGCTTCATAAATCAGGCGGTGAGAGGAGTGCAAGCATAATCTTACGCCAACATATATGCCCGTTTCTACGCAAGAATGATAAATGAGGGCCATTGTGTGTGTTCATTTAAACTGCAATGTGTGGCCAATGACGAATAATGATTTTCTGAAGTAAATTATAATTATTAGGATATATTTTATTTTTAACCGCTTCCTCATCCTTGAAAAACACTGCCTGACACTGCTTGAAAGAGCTGGGAAAGTGCTGTAAGAACCCTGTGTCTAGCTTTTTTCTAGGATTCTTACTGTTCTTGTTCATTTGAACCTGTAATTAAAAAAAAATAAAAAAAATAATTCAGACTGTTGTTTACACCAGTGGTTCACAACCTGGGGTCTGGGGGTGTCTGCACGGGAGTTAAAAATCTGTATCCCGGTGCTCTTTGGATGCAGGGAAAAAGCGACTCATAAAAACCTATCAAGCCAAGGCACTCGACAAAATGGATGCAAAATATATTAAAGTAAAATAAAACTGTTACAAGGTGTGTAATTCAAACCACTTCACTTTATTAAATGACTCCCAACACATAAGCATTTACAATAGATGCTCTTCTGTCCACTTAAAGCCCAAAGTATACTTCGGCCGTCCGTGTTCCACAACGGTCTGTGCACTTGTCCGTGTGACCCCAAAAGAGTATAGTTTGAAAGGCTTGCGCACTCAACTTGAGTTGAACGGCAGTGCGCGAGACAAAGCGTAACGCGGAAAATGAAGTATACCCGGGTCTTAATTGTGCGGCTCTCCTTCGACTATCTTCAGAACTCTTTCCTCACAAAAACGTATTATTTTCATTAAATCTTTAAGTGAAGGGTTGTGAGATCACAAAAATCAACCACAACCATGTATTGTGCCCTCCAAAAATACCCGTTTTCATTACTGTACGCAATCACTCTGGGCAGATATTTTCACTACCGTGATTATTTAGTGCCGCCCCTCAGAGACGGATCAGATATATGGATGGAGATGCCGTTAATAGATTGACTCTCACCTGTTTATGAGGGAGAGACGATATATGAGAACTGCAGTGGATCATCACCCTGCGGCTGGTGGAGTTTGAACTGCTTTATGCATGGAGATTTCGGGAAGCTCTCTGAATTCCTTCGTTTGATGTAAGGATCTTGATCTTGTAGTAGGAGGCTTAATGCAGGTTTTTTTTTTTTTTTTACTGAGTGTTATGCATGTCTAACATTGATGCACATTAGTTCCCCACATACAGTAGAATTATAGCTTGAGATGAATCTTACAATGTGTTCTCCCTTTTTGATTCAAACTTTAGTTGGATGCCATGCTACATAGGCTGCCACATTTCTAGGCAGCATCCGAACTGAAATTGAACCTCATGAATGACCGTGTTGAAACTGTTCTAGGTCAGTTAATGGGCACTAATTCACACCACACAAATGGAAAAACCCAAAGTATACTTTTTTTTACTTGTACGCAAGGGTATGCCTATGCAGTGCATGTGAAATGTCATCATCAGTAAAGATGGTGTACTATACCTGCACAGTCCGAATTCTCTAATATCTTTGAGCTGATCGTCCAGATTATGCACAAGTTAGTTGGTTCACAAGCAAATCTCAGTGCAAGCTTTTCACTTGCATTTGCCACTTTAAAAAACTGTTTCAGATATTTAAGATCATAAAGTCTTACATTTCTTAAATGGTATAATGTCTTAATGATCATTTTAAGAGGTCTTAAAGGAGAACTCCGGCGCAAAATGAACCTTTGGTCTAATTACACATTGTTACCTAGTCAACCGTTATCTGAGATTTGTTTTCATGATTATCGAATGTAAACCGTTTTATCTCTAAAAACAGTTTAGCCTATAACGCTAGTATAACGCTAGTATATTGGGCATAGAGTAATGACAAAAAAAATCGCTTGTTAATACCACTAACAAGGCTGAAAATAGACCCACACTAACACGGTAGCATAATGAGGGTCCCTACCTTCAAACCGAAGCATTGAGAACTTTGTCAGTGTCCAGACAGTTTAATAAGAAGATATTTTATACATAGTCAACTTTGTGTATACAGGCAGAAGCCATCTTTGAAAAACAGTCTCTACCAGTCGATCTACGAACGCCGATCCAAGTGCGCTGGTGAGATGTGAACGAGCTATAAGTTGTGATAAGGTGAGCGCGAACAGAAGGCTTGGATCGGCATTCGTAAATATTTATTTGTGCAAACAAAGCACTCACGTTGCTTCATAAAATTGAGGTTAAACCACTGGAGTCACATGGATTACTTTAATGATGTCATTCCTATCGTTCTGGGCCTTGAATGTGTAAGTTGTGTTGGATCTCTAAGGAGGGACAGAAAGCTCTCGGATTTCATTTAAAAATATCTTTAATTGTGTTCCGAAGATCTTACAGATGTGAGACGACACGAGGGTGAGTAATTAATGACATAATTTTCATTTTTGGGTGAACTAAGCCTTTAAAGGGATAGTTCACCCAAAAATGAAAATTTTGAAGATATTTTAAAGAATGTTGGTAACCAGACAGTCAACGGCACCCATTGACTTCCATTGTAGGAAAAAATACCATGGAAGACAATGGGTGCTGTCAATTGTCTGGTTACTGACATTCTTCAAAATATCTTTTGTGTTCAACAGAAGAAATAAACTCATACAGGTTTGGAACAACATGAGGGTGTGTAAATGATGACAATTTTTTTGGGTGATCTATGCCTTTAAATTTGAGGGTGGGAAAAACGGGAAACGTGATGCAATCTAATGTGATTATTAATCTACAAAAAACTATGATTTTTTTAAATGAGTGATGGACAATAGAAACAATGTATAGCTCTCAGCTGTACGCATGAACTTAGCATTCATGCCAAAACTGATATTTCGGGCTTAATGTCGGCATGACATTTCAAAATTTACCCCGTTTACTTTGTTAGTGCACATACATAACTAGAAGTTGATTCACACACAAAAAAAAATGTCTTTTGTAATCTTTAAAAAAACCTGAAAATGTACTTCCCTGTAGTTTCTGGTGTCTCTGATGACGTCAGTTTGACGGCTTGGGTAGAACTTAAAACAAGCTTTATTGGTGTTAGCATGTTGCTAAGCTAATGTCTTGGTTTTCCTGTAAAGATGCATGTAAATTTGATGCCTAAAAATGTTGCCTATGTTGTCAGGTCACAGTTTTTAGACAGACAGCATAAGGACAAACACTTCTATGATTGAAATATAAGCTCTGAGCAACAGTAATCAGTCAGACAGACTTACTGAGGTGAGTGATGACTGGAGCAGCGTCTCGATCTCACACGGAGAGACCTTAATGCCATTCAATGAGATCATGTGGTGATTCGTTGCTAAGGAGTCACTGGGCTTCCTGTGTCACCATGTCTACATTATCTGACCTGGTAACCTACGTGAGACCTATCCTACCCTAAACTAACATACCTTGCCTTAGATACTAACATACATTGTCTTAGCCTTTACAAAAGCAAAATGTTTTTAGATATATAGTTGTGCGTTGTAATTTAATTCAATTTTTTTAAACGGGCTCTTTGGTGTGCTGGTGACTGAAATGATGTAGGTTTAAGGTTAATGAATTGAAGACTAATCGCTTTTTTTATTTAAATACTCATGTTTTGTTTACTAATATTTTTTCCTTTATATTGTGCATCCCTTTTTGGGCTGGGTAAAAATATCAATTTGAATGATTTGATATTGATCCAAGATTGATCTTGTAAATTATGCCCTTTTTACAGTTAATGCGCCAATATCCGCTAAAATATTATTTGTAGTGCAAGCTCCTGTCCTGCTGATGTCAGAGTCTGTGCTGATTGGGTTCATGAACCTCTGTCACTCATCGCATCAGTTTTATGGTCTTGCGCTGTACAAATGGGAAAGAGTGTTCTAAATTTCATGATTGTGTGTGTGCTCCTCACGTTAAAATTAAGTTGTCCATGTGAGTAACCTTTTCCAGGCAGTTCTATGTACTTTTTGTTTCTCTGCCCAGTGCTGTAGAGTACATTTTGTTAAATTAACCAAGTCAGTTAGTATAAAATGTAATGTACTTTGCAAATGCATGTTAGATCTTATTGTGAACGATTCTTTTTTTTTTTACCTCGTCGTTTTTAAGGAAATTGTCATAACTGTATGTTCAATAACTTTTTAAAGGGGTCATGAACTGCATTTTGTAAAATGTTTTCTGAGGTGCGCTGAAGTCAGTATGATTTTTACATCAAAAATTGTCATAATATAGGAATAAAAGGCCATTTTCTAACCTGATTTTAGGCCTCTGATTTGAGCAACTGATTTACCAAAGAATCCTCAGTGAAATGTACCGAACAAACAAATAATGCTCAACTGAGACATTCACATAGTTGAAAATAAAGAACCACTTCCCTAGCAGTGGGATCCTTTGGAAGGTAATGTTATTTTTAGTCCAGTGATCAATAAAAGCTGTATTTGGACTAACAAGAAGTTTTGAGTTCTGAAACTTGGAGAAAGTTTTTATAGTACAATGACCTCTTACATGTCAAAAGAAGGAAACTTTGATTTCTCAATTAATGACCGCTTTAAACCCTCCATTACTGCCTTCATTTTTTTTAGTGCAGTGACCACATTTCAAAATAATACCCCTAAATTACTGTAACACTTTTTATTTATGGTTGAAAGTGTCTTTTCACCTTTTTCTGGCCAAAATATTCACATTTGGAAATGGGATTGTCTTGCATAATGCACATAAATGTTGCGATCAAGCAATAATTTATTAACTGAAGTAATAATTAAGACGGGCTTATGAACATTGTAATTGAGATGTTCCAAAACTCATCCAATTGAGAGTTTGTGCAATGGAATTAAATTGAATCAGGAATTCCATACTGATTCAGAGGACTAGATCTCACTGTTTGTAGTCTGAGGGTGAAATGAAGGTAGAATTGTTTTTGTGTGTGTTTTATGTTGCTCATATTTGTGTTTGTCATCTTCAGGGCTCCTGAGATTATTCTTGGCCTGCCTTTTTGTGAAGCCATAGACATGTGGTCGCTGGGATGTGTGATTGCGGAGCTCTTCTTGGGCTGGCCCCTCTACCCAGGAGCCCTCGAGTTTGACCAGGTAATTTCTCTAAAATGCCTCTTTCTTCCTGCATCCACCTTTCTTTTAGCATGTCTCTTCTCCTGTTTAAACAAATTTCATGAAACCTGCCACATATTTCACCAAAAAAATGAATCACACACACAGAATGTCTCTTCTTGACGTAATCTGTTTAGCACAGAGCCATGGTATGTGCTGTCAGGCCCAAACAATCTCCAGAAGAATTTTCACGGCCGCTTCTTAGCGTCTGTGTTGGCGCACAAGTGTCAGCATGTGGGTGTTTTTTGTGTGCACTCCTGCTGCTTCTGTCTGAGCGTGCATGGCTTATGATCTGAGTGTTTTCTAGTTTTTGGGCCGCACTCCTCCTGCTTCTGGGCCCCTGAATGCCCCGGGGTGAAACTGAGAGGAGGGGGACATTACCAAGTCTCTGTGTGTCTGCATATGTGATTGATACACTGAAACAAGCCTAGATTAGAACAGTGTTTCTGGGTAGGGTTTGGAAAGGAGAGTCCCAGCAGCTCCTGACTTGACACAGCGGTTTATAGCAGTAGGTGGGGGTTTGATGGGTTTTCCTCCTCCTCTTGGCCGGGCTGTTATCGCAGCTGGGTTATGGATCTCAAGATACCAACGGGTGCCATGAGCTCCAGTCAGTCTTAAAGCTACATGCCCCTTACTGCCCATATATAACCCTGCATTATGCCTGGATGTCTTTTTAAGCCTGTGAGAATTTGGTCTACTGGGCATAATTCATCTCCATTATCACAACACTCTAGCTTTAATTATGTGAGAAGAATATCAGAATTTGCCCCATATTTTTTTTACAGCAATGGCGATGAGAATGCTCACATTCCTGATGTCAGATTCCTCTGCTCAATGTTTCTAGATCCATTTGGATGCACCCCTTTAATTTCCCCTTAATTTTAATTTCCTGATCTCCCAACTGTAGGATGGCACCCTTGTTTCTCAGGTTTTTTTTTTTTCTGTATAGAAAGAAATAGTTTCGCTCAAATGAAATATCCAAACCCCTATGCTGTACTGTGCTCTGTTTTTTAAGATACTGATACTGACCAGCTGTCAAGCTCCAAAAGCACCATAAAAGCACCATTCTTGAACTATATTTATATTCATCAGTATTTTGATACAATACTGTAGCTTTAGGATGAATTGATTCATTTAACTATTATTTCTACGATTTATCTATCAGTTATTTAAGATTTTTCTTACTTCTGCCATAAAGCTTCTGCCATAAATCTTTCAACATTTTATTCAAACATTTTCACATAAAAATACTTAATAAAAAAAAAACGACATAAAATAAAGTGCCTAGAATTTAAGTTAAACTGCCAAGGCAGTAATACAAATGTCCATGACTGCATTTGGAATTGACAACATTTGTAGTCAAAGTTAGTATTGTGGCTTTATGTATGATATCATGTCTTGCGTAAGACATTTGCATGTGTCATATTATTAACATTTTACCAAAATCAAGCTCAAATGGCTTTACAAGGTTTGGACCTAACAAAATGCGTCCGGCCGGGATTTCTAGAACGCCCAAAATCTCCGGGATTCGGCTTTTGCTTTCTACAGTCACCATTCATTGTTTACATGCACACCTTTTGTTTCAATCGGACTGAATTCATTCAGATTGATGAATCTGAATGTACTGTTTACATGAACGATAAACAAGTGATCGGGTTGATGTGCGTTATTGTATTGCTTTAGGTCCCGCCTTCTCGCACGGCATCATTGGTCGGTCGGTCATGTACGTAACGCAAACATTGGTCAAACTGCATCTCAATCATTACCCTCAGCACCGCGGTAACAGCCAGGAGACACAGAGCAGCGCTTGCTTGTCAACATTTGTAGTCAAAGTTAGTATTACAAATGTTGCAACAGTGGCACATGGCTCCTGAACAGCGAAAAAAAAAAAAAAGCCCAAATGTAAATTCATAGATTATTTACAGAGAAAATTCCTGTGTTTTCGTCTCGGTCGGGATCCGTGTGAAGCAGAATGCATGACCTGCAAAGCTGGCACGTACGTGTCATAAAGGTGCTAGCGACCTCGAAGCCCACATAAGGAAAGTATACAAGAGAACATCTGGAGGACTGAAATAATTTTTTACTGAAATAGTTTTTTTTTTTATGGCAACTGATTTTTAAACATTTTTATTTTAACCAATGGTCATGAAAAGAAAGTAGACAAAAATGGAAAGAACGAAACAGAAAAAAAGAAGAAAAAAGAAACCGCAAACATATATTAATCATGGTAAATGAAAGATCTCGTCATATTTCTTCAAAAAAGAAATGCATTTCTATTATCAATTATTCTTAGTGATTTTATTAAATATTTTACTTCACATACAGCATCTTTAAAATTCTTAAGAAACCTTTGTTTGTGAAAGTAAAACTTTGCCACAAGGATAAGGAAGTTAACAGTAGTTTCTAAAGATTTGTTTGGGTTTTCAAAAAGACAAATGACCTCCTTAAAGCGTAGATTACCGTTCATATTAACTTTAGAAAAACAATAAGAGCTCAACTCATTCCAGAAAATTGATGAAAACATTACAAGAGAAATAAAAATGACAGATGTCTTCATTTTCAATCTTACAGAAGGTGCATATATCAGCTAAATCACAGTAATTGGACAAAAGTGAGTAACAAGGGTATATATGTAGAGTTTGGTTCCAAAACACGATAAACGCCATTTAAAAAAAAAATTAGTTACTGCAAAAATCAGTATTGTATCTGGTTGGTATTGAAAAGTCAATGTTTAATTTTAAGTAAAATGCGATATCCGCAGTGTTATTCTGTCACGTTTTCTCCCTTTCTTTCCAAACCGCGACAAACGCCAGTCTCCCTTCTCTGCAGAATGTGATATATCCTCTCTCAACCAATCACAACGCACCATTCCACGCAATGTAAACAGTAACGGCAGCGCCTTAAATACACCCAGCTTCCTAGTTTTTCTTATCTATTTTGTACTTTTCGATCAACAAACAAACAAAAAAATGAATAATTTTGACGGCATTGATGAACCTGTGGTTGTTTCTGCGGTGGGTAAGAAACGTAAGGCATCAAAATCGAATCATTTACGTGAGGAGATTAAGAAGATGAGGCACTCGGAGGAGGAAAAATGTTTTCAATCTTCTTTACAGTTCTTAAAAATATTATACTAATAAACTTACGTTGTTGTGTATTCTCAACAGTTTCAATATGAAAAAAAAAACTTTTATATTGATTCAATGGATTAAATTTTTAATAAAAAAAATGGATTTATTGCATTTTGGGGAAAAAAGAATCTGTTTTTATAATAAATCTTTGAAAATCAAAACCTGGATTTTAATTTTTTTTTTGTTATTATGACCTACAAATGCTATGTGAAAATTTGAAACAGAAAATAGAGATTTTCATCTTTCCACTTGGAAAGAAAACACATTTATACTCAAATTAATCTAAATGGATTTATTGCGTTTTGGAACCAAACTCTTCATATTATGCAGACCTTTAAAATGCACTTCTCTCATTTTATTGGGTATGCAATATTTAAATGGTAGTAACCATGTTTTCCTCCATTGAATGTTATCTATTATAGAACCCCAAAAATATTTTCCCTTTGGAGTAAATAAGTTTCTTGATTGAGAGAGTTGACGAATACATTTATTATTACAATCTTTACTTAAAAGTGAAACACCTCCCAAACATAACAAGGATAGTTGTTTAGAACATGACTCATGGGTAAGGGAAGCTTTCATCAGACATATCAAACCACTTGGAATAGCCTGTGGTTGTAAATCAATTTCCAGGCTAACAGAGCTTATTGATGAAATGTAATATAATGGGTAATTTACCCTTAATTTACCCTACCTACCTTTTTAAATATATTATTAGGGATAAAATACCACATAGAATCTGACTCAAGCAAGCATCTCTTCAACCAATTAATTTTGAATGTGTTGTTATCATCAAAGTTCAGGACTTCAAGACCCCCCCCCAACTCCAACGCCGCCTCGACGCAAAGCTTGTTTTCCTTTAGAAAGCGAGAGTCTTTTGCAGCCTGCCGTACCATGTCTCTGTAGGTTCGCACTCGCATGGTAAAACGCATGATGATGTTACGAGGTGCTCCGTCGGATCTCCTTTGCACTAGGCGGTGTACAACATCAATTCCATCATCCAACTTTTTCTGGATACTAGGGATCATCTTTCTTAGGATGTCGATCGTCACGCTTCACGCATCTTCTCCATCGCGTTCTGGGACCCCTTGTTGCTTGAGATTCCATCTACGCGAGTGCCATTGCATTTCATCCAAGTTTTCTTTTAGATAGAGATGCACCGATTACAATTTTCTAGGCCGATCCCGATTCCGATTTTTCCTTGAGTTTGACCTGCCGATACCGATTTTAGCCGATTCCGATTTCATTTTTTCAAACCACTTTACAGCACACACAAATATTTATTTTCTATCTTCTCTTTAATAGAACATTTTGCATAGAACATTTTTTTGAACAGATAATCGCAAAATAAAATAGAACTATATAAATTACTCCGCTGATGTTGTGCGATGTTAATCATGCGGCGCCCGAGTGCATTTGACCGGCATAAAATAGGATTATGTCAGACTGACTGGCCGGTCGCCAATCATGGCCGATCACGTGAAAATCGGCCGATTCCGGTCACCAGCCGATCAATCGGTGCATCTCTACTTTTAGACATATATTTTCAGCTCGCAGATCCTTATTCTCCTTTTCAAGTTCAACGATCTTGACATCGTGCCTCTTGACCTCTTCACTTATATGGGAGACCTTCTCAGACAGTTTGTCGAGTTTTTCGCAAGAAACCGCAACCTTACCATGCGTTTAATCCACTTTAGCAGTTAGCTTCTGGATCGCTACAATGACTGTAGGTAAAGAAACTTTGTTCATGCCTTTTGAACTCACCAGATTCTTGGATGGAGTAGAGCAAACAGGCCTTGCAAACACCTCTTCATTGGTAACGATTTCTGTCTCAATATTAAAATTCTCCAG